TCTGGGCTTCTGACTCTTTCTGCAGTTTTTAGTGCTATTCCTTGGCTCCTTCTTATTGCTGTCTTTCAGCCACACTCCTGATTTTCTCGTAAGAAAGATCTACACCTAGCCTTCTCGGACAAGGGCGAAAAATCTCTGAGGTCCCGTGTGCAAGTTGCACACGTTAAAGATCTCTTGGTGGTGAATTTTCTTTGATGTAGGTAAAAGTATAAAGAAGGAAGTTAATTTCTGTTTAATCATTTCAAAAATATAAATTAATATTAACGCAATCTTTATATTTTCCCGCAATTATACGATAGTCAAAACGCACAGCGCAATCTTAAGATCGGTAAATAGCACGGAACACATATATTGTCCAATGAGCCAGGTCGTTATTACAGTCCTAAAGTAGTGTCCTTGTTCGCTGGAAGGGACGGGTGCCCCATGGTCAGATCGAGGGGGTGGCACATCTTGAAACATTGTTAACCCTTATCAAACAATCTGTTTAAAAAACATTTTTGTTTGGCGATCCTCTGAATACGTACCACAGACTTTTGTGAGCTCTGCCTTATGCTGAAAACAATCAAAATCTAAGATTTAAAAAAACCGCACTATACGCGTACATGAAATATACGTGAGAGAAGAAGTGCCAGTAAAAATCTGCATAGGCTATTTATAATAGTTTGATTATCGATCTTGAACGATGCAATTGTTAATGTTTACTCTGATATAGGCTAAACGTTTTTATTATTTTATCTATTTTGGTCAGGATAAAGTACTTTGTTATTTTATTTATTTATAATACACTTGTAAATTGATGAGAATTACAAGCCACACTATTCATTAATATTTCCAACAACTTTGTAATCATGCACCTCGACTGACAGTTGAAGACAATTAGGCCTGCTCCAACCCAAGGAAAGCAATAGATTTGTAAAAATCATACTTTCGAATCATGCTATCGGATAACAGTATAATGTTATATCTAAACAAAAACAAAAACTGCTTGAATCGATTCTTACGCGTTTACTTCGCTTTGTACATTATTGAGTTTAGGATACTCGGGTTTTTTGTGGGGGTTTTTGGAAAGTGTTTTACGGCGCTCGCAACTGTATAAGGTCATATGAGCGCGCGGGACACATTAACTTTTTACAGTTAGAAGGAAATTTTGAATTTTGCCCGGGTGGCGGCCGAAGCATACTCTTATCGATTTTAGACCACCAAGGGATCTTTAACGTGCGCAACTTACACTCGGGACTTCCGAGATTTTTCGCTCTTATCCGAGAAGGCTAAATGTAGATCTTTCCTACCAGAAGATCAGGGGTGTGGCTGAAAGACAGCAGTAAGAACGAGCCAAGTAGTAGCAGTAGAAAGGCTGCAGAAAGAGTTAGGAGCCCAGAGGAGAGGGCAAAAGGGGTGAGGAGGTGGGGGGCAGAAAGAGGAGACGAAATCAGGCGACAGAACATTGCAAGAGATCAGGAAAGGAGGTGAAAGGAGACAATTTTAGAGAAGGAAAAATTTCCGGTCGCTACCCGGATTCGAAGCCGGGACTTTTGAATGAGAGGCCAACACCTTAAACCTCTGGGCCACGAGAGCCCCCGTTCAGTATACGTCAGCTCAACAACGGCTTTGTGTCGTAGAGAAGGTGCCGAGACTATTCACTCCAGGACCAGGAGAAAAACGTAGAACTGAAACGATCAAACCACAGCTGATCACAACTGAACGCAAATCTTGTAGCCCAAGAGCTTGTCAGTACGTTTGTGTCTTTTAGCGCCTGTAAAAACATGGCAGCCGACACTGTGTGCTTCCCATGAAGTTGAGATTGTTTCAGAATGCTATCATGTCTGCTGGGGTTTTTAAAAAATTGAATTGCACAGCGCATAGAGCTTGCTGTCGAGAGGGAAAATGCTATTATTATTATTATTATTATTATTATTATTATTATTATTATTATTATTATTATTATTATTATTATTATTATTATTATCATTATTATTATTATTATTATTATTATTATTATTGTTGTTGTTGTTGTTGTTGTTGTTGTTATTATTATTATTATTATTATTATTATTGTTATTATTATTGTTGTTGTTATTATTATTATTGTTATTGTTATTGTTACTGTTTTTGTTATTGTTTTTGTTATTGGTATTAGTACCATCATCATCTGCTTACTGTACGTAGTGTGCAGTGGGTACGCTACAGTTTGGTAGCAAACATTCAATTCAACGTGTGTGAAAGTTTGTTTGGTTTATTAGGTCCTTTAATTTAAATCTCATAAACATGTCTAGCCTATGTCAAGATACGCTTGCTGTGAACTGTAAGAAAAGTAGAGAGAGAGAGGAGGGAGGGGGAGAGAGGGGGAGAGGGGGAGAAGGGGGGGGGGGTAGTAGGAGATCACATTTTCACAGGAAAAAAAACTAAATTGAGTCTATATCTAAGTCCCAAAAACCTGGAATAATTTATATAAGTCAGCCTAGGATAATATGGAAAGTGTTTGTTTGTGACCTGTACTCTGATGCAAGGCGAGAAAGACAATAATTATGATGATGGCGATGATGATGATATACGCACTATCATATTGCTGCAGCGGAGAAATATTTATAATTCGCAAGTTTTTTCTTAGATGACTTAAACAGATTGCGCTATGAGATCGACAATGTTGATCCAAATGCCTGATATCGAACTGGCGGTGAGCGCGAAAGGGTTAATCAAGATACCGCAGCGATCTTCACCTCGCCCAAAGTGGACTTACATAAGTCTGTTCCTACTATCAACACTATAAATCAAACTACACTGTTGACGCAAAGAGTTATACGTCCATTAGCAGACGACCGCACCCGAAGCCTGTTCCCCGACAAGTACATTGAACAAGTAGATCTTGTACTGTTGCTGCAGGAAGCGACGTGGTGGGAGATCAGGAAGAGCTGACAATCAATTAATTATCAATACACTGAGGACTATAATGTTACACATTTTATCATATTTATTATTGCAATGATTTTTTAAAAGTACAAGAATAATCTTCTGCGTGCATCTTTCTATTTCAATGAAAAGACGAGTGTGAAAATCGTAATTAGTAGTAGTAGTAGTATGTTAATATTATTACTATTATCAGTATTATTATTACTATTGTTTTGGGGTTGTTGTTGGTTTTTTTAGTTTAGCAAATTGTTTTGTTCGTTTCTCATTATTTAAATCCCCTCTTCGATTAGAGACCTAGTTTAAGCCATGATTGTAAGAGAGAGAGAGAGAGAGAGAGAGAGAGAGAGAGAGAGAGAGAGAGAGAGAGAGAGAGAGAGAGAGAGAGAGAGAGAGAGAGAGAGAGAGAGGGGGGGTGGGTGGGAGTGGGGCTGTTTTCGACCTTCAGCAGTTTAGACTTTGGAGGTCGCACAACTGTTGTACAGAACCGACTACACAACAGTATTTTCCCCCTTAGTAATTGTATTGCTTATGTAGCTGCTTAGCGTACCTGACCACGGAACACACCCCTACACCCTTCCCACTCCGCGCTCAGTTCAAGAAAGAGTTGTGGATTCCGAAGAAACTCGTCTCATGAGAAATCGAATAAGCTTCTCGTTGTGCAGGTAGGCCTACAGTGCTTGTTGTAGAGTGATCGTTCTTGACTAGTTTAAAAGGGAATTTCTTGTTTGTGTGCAACAATGCAAGGTGAAGTATTGCAATTAGATATACTGTCTGTCTGTCTATCTATCTATCTATCTATCTATCTATCTATCTATCTATCTATCTATCTATCTATCTATCTATCTATCTATCTATCTATCATAGACATGTTTATACACATTCATAAATAAGTGCATAATGTATATTTGATATGGCATTTATTTGTGGGTGTAAAAAAAATATATATTTTAAAAAAATATATATAGATCTAGATCTATATTATATATAAATAATATTTAATTGACATGTATGTTTATATGTAGATAGACAGATAGATGAAGGGCAAACATCAGTCCCACAGTCGAGGGCTCTTGGCACCTTCCCCCTTGGTATTCATTTTCTCCAATCGAGTCAAATGGTGCGATTCATAAGGACTCGAAAATGGCATCAAAGGGCTCGTTCTGAGATATCACAATGCAAATCTGTGCTTCTACCAGACAATTACATCTCCACGAGTTGTCTCCGCTTCGAAGAATTCGATTTTGAAGGGGGGGGGGGAACAAATTAATTTTTTTTTAATATTTAATATAAAGATTAGATCAAACTGTTTTATGGCTCCGAAATTTGGTATACCAAAATTGGGACCTGATTGACAGTGTTCAGGTGTAAATTCTGGAGAGCCTTTCTGGACCTCAGCAGAGCTACAACCACGTTTTTATGTTTTAGTAAGAGTTATACAGTACTTATATCTTAATAAGGTTGCATAAGTGCCGAAGATTAGAGGTGTTAAAAGAGAGTAACAAACGCAAAAAAGGAGAGATAAGGACGGTAGGTGTTTGATTGGAAAGATAGAGGTAACCACAACAGAGCCCGCGACAACTACCAACACCCCCTTCTGTGGTTCTGAGACAAATGGGAAGAACTAAGGTATGGTCTGAATATACGCATTGTGACGTTCTATTCTAGCGCAGATTTATACACATAGAAAATGGCAGTTTTCCAAAGATATGTTACACACAATTATTAAGACAATGACAATGGCAATCCTTATTTATCTCGCAGGGATAAATTTGTCTTGGTCGTTAGCAATGGCAGTAGACGTTACAAAGGTTAGGTGCACTCACGCATACGCACACAAGACAAGACATTAGTAAATACATGTCTCACGCTCCGTAAAACATTCTCTCTCTCTCTCTCTCTCTCTCTCTCTCTCTCTCTCTCTCTCTCTCTCTCATTTGTAGCAATGTGTGTTCAGTAACCTCACAGCAGTTGGTACAAATGAGTCTCTATATCTGTCTGTTCTTGCTTTTTTGGAATGTATCGTTTACTGAGGATCGATAGTTGAAATTCCGATGTCAGTGGGTGGCTATGGTCACTAAGCATTATTTCTGCCTTTTTTAGAACGTTTGTCTTGTGCAGATATTCAAAGTTACTTAGGTCTCTACCAATTGTTCTTGATGCCTTTCTGATCAGCTTGTTTATTTTAATGATGTGCTGCCTTCCCAAATTGCCACTATAGCAAGTGATACCAAAATTTATCAAAGTTTCTATTGTAGTGGTGTAGAATATCTGAAAGATGGATGGATTCAGATTGAAAGACCTAAGTTTCCTCAGAAAGTACAGCCTCTTATTTACCTTTTTAACGATATTGTTTACGTGATTTTGCCATGTAAATTTGTTGTCGATTGTAAGACCAAGATATTTGTATGAATCCGTGATTTCAATTGTTTCTTGTTCAATAACGAGTTGTGGGATTGTTGGTTTTTCTCTTCTAAATTGAAAAAATCATTGTCTTTGTTTTTGAGAGGTTCACGTTTAGAAAATTTGAATTGCACCTTTTAAAAAACAGACATATTTTTTATATATATACTCTTTTTCATCAAGTTTTATTAATCCAATAATAGCAGAGTCGTCTTCAAATTTAATTTAGCGTGTTGTTTTTTATTTACTTCTATGATCGTTGGTATATATGGTTTACAAAACTGGGGACAAAACACAGCCCTGAGGACCGGCGGTGTTACAAAGGATTGTGTCAGATTTTGTGTTGTTCAGCCTAACATATTGTGGTCGGCCTGTCAAAAATTCTAGGACACATTCTGCGATATGATGACTAACTCTCAGACTCAGAAGTTTTTCCATGACAACATGCGGTTGAATTGTATTAAATGCTTAGGAAAAAATCAACAAAAGTACCCTCGTATACGTTTTAGATGTTTCTTGTGAGTTAAGCAGTGTCAACTGGGCTATTGAAGTTACGCATCTATTATTTTCACTGGAACCTTGATATGCCTGGTTTTCTCAGAGTGTTGAAGGCACCAAGTTCTTTCTCAGTGAAGTAAAAAGTAGGCTTGTTGATCATTGCGTTGAAGAACATAGAGGAAAATATGTTGCAGGTATAATTTATTCTCTCTCACAGTTCCTTTTCAAGAAACAGCTGAGTATAATAACATTAACCCCCAACGTTATTGGAACTGAAAAGTCATAATTGTTAAAAACGCATAGCCTGCAACTGAATAATAATCTTTATTGGTGGAACTTAATAATAATTTACTTTTAGGTGAAAAGTATAGCTCTCGTGAAACTGAAGATGAATTTCACTTTATTTTTTTACTGTTCAAGCTTTGCCTTTTAAAGGAAATTGTTAACCCCCCCCCGCAATGTTTGACCCTTGAGACGGGATATGAGTAGAACATATTCTATTAATTTATTGTGGAAACTTTGTTAAACTACATAACACAACGCGATTTTTAAAAGTTGCTGATCTCTAGGTTAGATATGATTTGTGTTGTTTACCCGCAAGTCTCTTTTATAAATTGTTTCCGTTTTATGTGATATGGGCCAAATGCCTAAGACACCTACCTCATCTTTAAAAACTAACTAACTAACTAACTAACTAACTAACTAACTAACTAACTAACTAACTAACTAATAAACAAATAAACAAACAAGCAAGCAAGCAAGCAAACAAAAACAATACTAAAAGTTAGAAAGAAAGACGAATTGATTACCAAAAAGCAAATACTTCTACCCAACTCCCCCCCTCCCCCGAAAAAAACTGACCGAGGAGGTAGCACACCATAAACTATAAACTCATGTGTTTCCCTGTATGGTTCTTTTTCTTGCAACAGTACATTGTACCGAACGAGCTACTGAAGTTTTAGCTCTAGATCTACCTCATTTTTAAGAGTATATTAAGACACGTATATTGGAAAATCGAAGAAAAAGAATAAACACGTTTCTTTCATGTTTATTTTGGGAATAAAAGAAAGCACATTGAAAATGGAAAATAGTATTCGCTAACGGTTTAATTAATGCACAGCCGTAAGTCGCCTGGAACATATCGGAGTGACGAAAGTGCATAATATTATATATTATATTAAGCGTTTAGATATTGCGTGTGCAATTTATTTTAAAAAATAGTGGTGGGGGGGCGCAGAGAGAGCGAGAGAGAGAGAGGGACAGGGGAGAGAGAGAGAGAGAGAGAGAGAGAGAGAGAGAGAGAGAGAGGGGGGGGGGAGAGAGAAAGAGGGACAGGATAGAGAGAGAGAGAACGTGTTGGGGGGGGGAGGGGCGACGTTATTAGAACCGTATGGTGCTTGTGCTCTTTATATTATTAATAATTGCATTGAGCTCTTTCTTAGTAGAAATGCGCTATACATGTATTAGTGAAATCTATTATTATCATATAAATGAATTGTAAATGTATTATTATTGTTATTATCATAATATTATTATTATTATTATTATTATTATTATTATTATTATTATTATTATTATTATTATTATTATTATTATTATTATATTATTGTTTATTATTATTATTAATATTATTGTCTCCGTCGTCGTCATCATCATCATCATCATCATCATCATCATCATCATCATCCTCATCATCATCATCATCATCATCATCATCATCATCATCATCATCATCATCATCATCATTATCATCATCATCATCATCATCATCATCCTCATCATTATATTGTTATTATCATTTTTATTTTATTATTATTATTACTATTATTATTATTATCATTCTTGTTATCATCATTGTCATTATTATTATTACTATTATTATTATTATTATTATTATTATTATTATTATTATTATTATTATTATTATTATTATTATTATTGTTATTACTATTATTATCATTATTATTATTATCATTATTATTATTATTATTGATATTACTATTATCATTGTTATTGTCATTATTAATTACTACACCAGGGTCCCTGCAGAGCTCTGGTTCCTCCCGTTCGCTTATATATATATATAATACATACGTATTATTATGATAGTATACCGCATAATACTATTTCTAAAACTCTGAGCTCTCTAAAAACACACCCGCGTACTTATACGTAAGCGCCCAGTGAAGTTCTTAACTTTTTTTTTGTAGTTGCTTTTCAATAGACAAGTCCGCTGTAAGCAGTCGGTGACACAAGCGTACAAACACATGGGTTGTCACCAGCTACCGGGAACACACCTTGCCAGGCAAAAAATAGGCACTGACTGGGAAGAAGACACCGGTTATGGCATTGCTTTGATCCAACGACGCCTCCTATTGCTTAAATCAGAACAGCGCGCCATTCGATCAGGGCATTCTGACGGTCCGTAAATCTATCAAATAACTTTGGGCTGGGTTTCTTTTTCTTTTTAGGAGGCACGTCATTTATTGCGACGTCTGAACGTGTGTGTGTTGCGACTGATTTTGCACCTCCAGGGCAATCCAGGGCTGACTGGGAGTGAAAGTACAAGTATTGTCTTATTATAAAGTATTGTTTTGCTTTGTGTTTTCTATTGGAGCGCAATATTAACCTGAGTTTAACGCCTTCTCTGCACACCCTTACCTACCCCCCCCCCCCCCCCAGCTCCTCCCCGTCCCGTTCCACGGCTCTCTTACATCCCGCCTCCCCCTTTTCTCTTTCTCTTTTTCTTTTGTTCCTTTTACACCTATTTTTACTTGTTTTCCTCCTCCTTGTAATTTTGTTGTTGTCGTCTTCGTCTTGGTCTCCCTTTTCCTCCTTTTCCTCTTCCTTCTTTTCTTCTTCCTTCTTTTCTATCTCCTTCTTTTCCTCCTCCTTCTCCTCTCCCCCTCCTCTTTCACAGCCACCTCCTCTTCGTCATCCTGTTCTCCTTCCTTATCTTTTTCTTCTTTAAATTTGTTCCTTAAACTCTGATCATTCTAGCCTTTCATTCGTTTGTCGTGAAAAGAGTATTGTTCATAGCTTGTGCCAGCCCTGTTAGTTTCTTTTTCTGACGTAATTTTGAACCTCAACAGAATGAAAAAGCCAGAGTGTCAATTATCAATTTTACTTGTCTGTAATTTTTTTTTAACCCACAAAAAACAAACAAACACAAGAAAGGGCATATGGACACAGCAGTAAAATCACTAAACTTTTCTAAAAAGGGGAGTTCTTTCAAATGTCACTGCAAGTTTAACCTCATCAACTATCTTGAAAGAGGCACTGGGGCATAAACTTTTAACAAGTTGTGTACCCTTATCCTGCCGGGTGGAAGATTTGTATCGTCCGTACTTAACCAACTAAATCGGCAACGCTGAACACATATCACGATTTGCTATGTGCATTGTATCTCTAGTACCCATTAGTTTCGGGGAGCTTTAAAAAAAGGGCCCGGGTGAAAGTGGAAGCCTTAAAAAAGAACGCCTCAAATAAGAGATCCCATTGAGAAGGATCAACTTGATCTATGTTCCCAAAATCAGATCGATAAAGGCGAATCACGAGGGGTGGGCGTCTCCGCGTGGATTTCTCTGCCCATAGCAGCGGCCGAGACAGACCCAGCATTCAAACGTTCAAGCCGCGGCACTCTTCAGAGGGAGCCGTGTTGTGGAACCAGTCCCGATTTTGGATCACCAGGAGAAAGTTGTACATTTTTCGTGGGATTTAAACAGTGAATTTTTCGTGTACGTTTAATGCAGCTGAGTGCTCTGCATCGATACTCAGTGGATTCTCTTGATTTCCTTGAATGAACTTTCGCATCGTCATTTTCACATTTGGTATTAATGCTTGTGTTTTTACCGCATGACCATGTGTTGAGAAGTCATGGAAGAAACAGATGGTTTGATATCCAGTAAACATCGCCAGGAACAAAGGCCACGGACTTCTTATTTGTTTCCTCTTGAAGATATTTGTGCTCATACGCAGTAGATTGAAAAGCCTTAAAAAAAGAGAACTGTATCGATATGTATGCATCCAATTATTACGGAAATGTTTGTTTAGAAGTAAAAGTTTCAAAATTTCAAAATATGAAACTACCCCACCTCCACCCCCCCCCCCCCCCCCCCCCCCCCCCCCAATAAAAAAAAGGAGGGGGAAAAGAATATTTTCAACTTTTGCTTGTCACATATTTATTAAGATACCAGGACAAAACGTGCATGATTGGTATTTGAATTTTAAGATCAAGGAGGGTATAAATGGATTTTTTAAAATGTCCTTGCTGGCGTAATAGCAATAATAAAACAACATTCTGAGAAAGACTTTATTGCATAAACGGATTTATTTCATTTGAAGGTTTGATAGTGTTACTGGCAATCTATGTATCTTGTTCACCACAGAGCTCAATGTGGTAGAGTGAGGTTTGAATGTTAGTGAAGCTCAATTCATCAATTTCAGTGCTGCAAAAATTTTACATTAAAAAAAACACCCTTCCATCCACTCACGCTTGATTAAATTTCAACCGTATCACCCTGATATCATTTTATAGAGAGTAACAGACGATACTATTTTCATTTTTATTGAGGTGAATTGCTTGCTTCATTTCAACTTAGAGTGCAGGTTGAGTTTCTCATGAAGCAGAAGATAAGATAAGATAAGATGAGATGAGATGAGATGAGATGAGATGAGATGAGATGAGATGAGATGAGATGAGATGAGATGAGATGAGATAAGATAAGATGAGATGAGATAAGATAAGATAAGATAAGATAAGATAAGATAAGATAAGATAAGATAAGATAAGATAAGATAAGATAAGATAAGATAAGATAAAATAAAATAAAATAAAAATAAGATAAGATAAGATAAGATAAGATAAGATAAGACAAGATAAGACAAGATAAGACAAGATAAGACAAGACAAGACAAGATAAGATAAGAATTCGTTGATATCAACATAGAGAAATTTGCAAGAGTGAATGCAAACACCCACACGTACTCATCAACTTTCACACACACACACACACACACACACACACACACACACACACACATACACACACATACACACACATACACACACATGCACACACACACACATACACACACACATACACACAGGCACAAACAAACAAACACACATACATACACACATACATACAGACAGACACAAACAAACAAACACCTACATACATACGCACATTCACACCTAATGTTATTCTCGCACACCTGTCAATGTCTGAAAAGCTCCTATTGGTGGGGAGTGTTTGTGTCTGTTGGTTCTTGCTTTTTACTTTTTCAAAAAATAAAAGAAAGCTAACATGATCGATACATACACACGAAAAAGTTCTACACAGAGGTTTCATAAAAGAGAGGGAGATTTATTTTCGTACAAAATGTATGCAAAAAAGAAAATGCCTGCCCCCCCTAAAAAGAACCTCTAGATAATCACTATTGATGAGCTAACATTATCATGGGAGATCAATCTTCTTACCAACATTGACATATTAGTTGCACCCTAGTTTAATGCAGACGCTTGAGAAAAACCTGAAGGATATTTACAGGCCTACTAAACATGTCTTCCTTCTTTTAGTTTTAGCAATTCCATATCTTTCTGTAGCTCATTGAACCCTTGAGCATTAAACTTGACCCACCAAGACTGTAAAAAAAATCATAAAGAAGTGGAATAAAGTGTCTTAAAGACTGAATGCGGATTTTCAAAGCGTTGAAAATCTTTGTGCCAGTTTTAAACCAGCCCATTTTTATTTACAGAAGCGCGAGATGGCAACACATTCTTTTAAAAAATTAGTGAAATTTAAAATAAGTAACAACGTAAATTAAAGTGAGGGACACGAAAAAAAAAGAAAACGATGTTGGCCCTATGCAAAAGCGTTGGAAACATTGTTGAAGCCTAAATTCAGAAAGTCAATATTATTGCCTGTCTATGCGGGGTCGCTAGGGGAAGAGAAGTGTCCCTGTTCGGAGTTCAACAACTTTACAGACAACAGCCCGGCCTACTTCATGTTGTCAGCAGAGCCCCTGTCATTAAAAATTGGGAGTGCTTATTTGGGCCACATATGGCCTAAATAAGGTAAGGGAGGGGGGTTTAGCTTACTTAGGCCACAGGTGGCCTAAATAAGGTAAGGGAGGGGGGTTTAGCTTATTTAGGCCACACATGCTCAAACTACCAGGGGACACCCTTTTAAGGCAACTGAGTTCGTTCCACTTTCATAATGGTGCACCTTTCTCATTTAGTACAGTTTTGTCTCAGTGTACAACTTATATATATCATAATGAATATTGTAAGAACAAAGCACGATACGCAAAGTTTTGCTCAATCTCAATGGTTTGTATGAGGGCCAGATTTTTCCTTCATGGAGGGGCAAAATCTAGGCTACCATTTTGGCACACTTTGGTCAAGTAAAAAGGTCAAATCCTCCGAATGGACTTCCGGGTCAAATTTGGGGTATAAAAAGTGTGTACACAACGTGGCTGAGTCAAAGTTACACTATCTTTGCCTGGGTGGCACTCTCTCGTACTGTCTCGTAGTAGTACATCTCTCGTACTGTCTAGTAGTAGTAGCCTACATGTAGATGTAGTAGTAGTAGTAGTAGTAGTAGCAAAGATCGAGAAGAATCTTTGGTAGTAGATTCTATCTAGTAGGCAGTTTAGTGAGCGTGCACGCGGCAGGGCGAATCGGCCTCGATAAGCCCCGTAGACCTTTGTGATCGGCCACGAAGCCTTGTGTTTTGATGGGTCTAAACAACTTAGTGTTAATCGCACTGCCACATCCGACAGGCCTTTATCTTTTTAAAAGGAAAAGAAATGGTCATCAAAATGGTTGAATTTGCGTGAAAATCGATTCGGTAGAACTGTAACTATTAAAATTTGCTTCTGAAAACAAGTTACAAGGCCATTTTTATAACTCGATGAGATAAAAACTACTGGCTGTATTATTCTGTATAAATTATGAAACTTCAGGACGTATTATTATTTTCCAACATCTTTTGCCGCCTTAGCTGTAGAGGTTGAAGTTTTCACAACACTAATAGATCTAGTAATAGGGCTTCCCGTAAAAAATGCATAGATCTACAAAAGCCGAACCACCGAATCGACCGGTCAACGACCCGGGCACCTCGCTCTCCCCTGCACACTGTGATAACATGTTGCTTCGGTATAATTATTCAACTATTAATACGTGCTGCTATGGCAATTGGGATGTACTGACTGACAAAGCGATTCACAGTTTTGTTTTTATTTTACCATATATTTGACTTTAATAGTGCAGGTGATAGCTAGATTTAGATCTAGATTCCCTGTCTAGAATCAGTAGTAGCAGACAAATGTTAGAAGCAGCCAGAGAGCCTACAACTGCTAGATCTAGATCTAACTCATTGCTATGCCTTTGGGCTTTGGAATTGAAATAAAACGAATTGCACAGTTCTAGTTAATTTTAGATTCAGCAACTATCTGTATTTCCAGAATTAATAATAACAAATCTCACCATAACAATCACTTTTACTTTTATTAGAATAATTAGATCAACTTTTTTTTCTAAAATCTGTTTTGCGCAAACTTAAGACTTTCTCTACGTGTAGAGCACAGAATTTACATTGTAAGCCTCTGCTCAGTCTTTTATTTTTAAGTATATACTTAATAAAAATACGTATAGATATAGATCTATATACTCATTTTATGTTATTTTCTGGATATTGTTAAAAACGGGGTCTACCTAGCAAAATACTAGGTTTTAGGACAGGTGGACCCCGGGGTCACCGTAGTGAAATACATGTAAGTAGATTTATTTAAAGATTAGTAGACCCCGGGGTCACCGTAGTGAAATAAGTAGGTTTAATTTTAAAAGGATTGGTGGACCCCGGAGTCACCATAGCCGTAGAGGAATAAGAAGGTTTAATTAAGAATTGGTGGACCCCCGGGACACCGTGATTAAACCTACTTATTTTACTACGGTGACCGCATGGTCCACCTATTCTAAAACCTAACTAGTATTAAATTTCGTTAGGTAGACCCTGGGGTCCACCTTAAACCTAAACCTTCCTATTTCACTACGTTGACTCCTGGGTCCACCAATCCTTAAAATTAAACCTAGATCTACATGTACTTATTTCACTACGTTGACCCCAGGGTCCACCAAACCTTAATTAAACCTAGATCTACTTATAATTTCACTACGTTGACCCAGGGGTCCACCAATCCTTATTAATTTAAACCTAGATCTACTTATAATTTCACTACGTTGACCACGGGCTCCGCCAGTCTTACTATAAAATAAACTGAGATCTACTTATTTCACTATGTTGACCCCGGGGTCCACCGATCCTTAGTCAAACCTAGATCTACTTATTTCACTACGCTGATTCCAGGGTTCACATCCTAAAACAGCATTTTGTTAGGTAGACCCCGCGGTCCACCTATCCTTTTGGGGCTAGATAGACCCCGTGGTCCGCCTATCCACTTCCTTGATAATAACTGGAAAACATGCCAGTTGTCATGAATAGTGAAGAAAAATGTGAAAAAAAAAAGATAACGAGGTAGACGATAATTTGTCAAAAAAATTGCAAGTGCAAGTGAAAATCATAAGATAATTTTGTTATTTTCTGGTGATCTTTTCACGGTTTATAAAATGTTCCAGTGGGCTTACTACTAGATCTATGTCTCTGAAGAACATTTTGCTTGATTTTATTAGCTTTTTTCATGTACTTGAAAGCATAGAATAAAATAGTTTCAC